GAAACATTTTGCTAAAAATATTATATATTCATTTAATGCTAATCACTTTAATGTTCTCCGACATCGGTAGAAAAATTATTGTTATGCGAATGCTGAAAGTCATGATATAACGATGAGTGTAGTGACAATGATTATGATAATGATGTACTTTAGAGGATAATAACGACTGTAATGCTGTTGACATTATACTAAGAAGATATAAGGCATGATCACCGTAATGATAAACATACTCAGCATATAGGGATTAATATTAGTAAAGATAACGACATTTATACAATAAATAGAAGGGAGGATAAGAAATTAGACTACATAGAAAAACAAACAAACTATTATCCGTTCTCTTTATCTAAACCCATTCCTTTTTCTCCCGCAGAATCATCAGCACAACAACAGTACTACGATTATCCTGCTGATCAGCACCAGAGCGCCCACTATAAGAGAAAAGAACACCATAGGATTCGACACCATCTCAGCCGGCGGCACTTAAACTACAGACAACAATTACGATTTTCACAGACACTATACACCCAGTCCGTGCCTGAGAACATACCTCTACACACCTCTATTCTAAAGGTGAGTAAAACAAGTCTACGGTTTCTTTCAACCACGTTTCACTATCTCGGAGCGTTGGTTGTGATTGGAAAGTGAGATATTAGTCGGGCGGATTAAAATTGACAGGCCAGGTCTAATCAAGAGAAACGTTTATATCTTTATTAGTTTGTCCTTTTTATCGGCCGATGGCTATTTCGGAAAGATTCGTAAGATAACTTTGATAAAAGTTAGGGGGAAATAGTTTATAAAAGTTGAGTTGTAAACTGTTTCTCAGTCTCAGTCTTTCTGCCTCCTCTCTCTCTCTCTCTCTCTCTCTCTCTCTCTCTCTCTCTCTCTCTCCCTCTCTCTCTCTCTCTCTCTCTCTCTCTCTCTCTCTCTCTCTCTCTCTCTCTTCTCTCTCTTCTCTCTCTCTCTCTCTCTCTCTCTCTCTCTCTCTCTCTCTCTCTCTCTCTCTCTTTCTCTCTTTCACTCACTCTTTTGTAATGTGTAATTTGATATTCTTCCTTTTTCTTTTTGCCATTCTTTTAACAATCTACACATATCTCTATAGATCCGGAATTACTTATATGCAGCTATATACTTATATATCTATTTATTTATCCATTCTTATATGTCCGATTTATGCATGTATATAAGTATGCATGTTTGTACGTTTTTATGTATGCGGATGCGCGCGCGCGCGCGCGCGTGTGTGTGTGTGTGTGTGTGTGTGTGTGAGTGTGTGTGTGTGTGTGTATCAATCTATCTCTGAGTCCATCTATTTTTTCACTGCCTGCCTTTCTTATTCACCCACAGGTCCAAGCATCCGACCCCGGAGCAGACGGCGACGGCGTTATCAAGTACCACGTAAGCGACACGGATAATTTCAAAGTAGACGAGGAGGGTGTTCTCTATAACATCCGCCCGTTGGACTACGAGAGAACTTCAGGCCAGTATCGGGTACAGATCTCCGCGGAGAGTCAAGGTGAGTTGAAGAACAGGGTGAAGAACAGACAGGAGTTTCGATTCGTGGAGAGGGCCTGCACCTTGTGTCAAAGGAATGTTAGGTTAGTGGAACGTTCCAAACCACCCGCGAACTATTTATAAAATGAATATGATGTTATGAATAATATCACGTAAAGTAGACTATGAATAGTTAATTCTATAATGATTTAATAATAAGGTTCGTATATTCTAGCTTATAGCAACCTTAAACTGGGGAAGCTATGTATACGAAATGATAATAAAGGGTTCTACCACAATGTTGTACTAGGAAAAAGTGGTACAAGACGTTTCAAGGAGCACCAGTTTAGAGGGTGAGAGGCTTTTGCTAAGGAGGTACAAGGAGATTACAAAGAGAACAGAGTGGATATTTCGAGGGTCGGAACGCTGTCAGTTACATATACACTGTGTATAAGAAGACATTTTCAGGTTGTTGTTCTTGGGAGGTAAGGCAGGTATGATGCGAGTAAAACGAGAATTTCTTATCTGGTGGGCATAAACATGTTAAATCCTTGAAGTCTTGAAGGTTCGAGATTTAAGATGGCTGCCAATTAATTATGAAAAAAAATATCGTACATTAATTGGATATACAAACATACAGGAGATTTATAGTAAGTTCTATTATATCAGAGACGTATTGAATTTGCTTTACGCCTGTGACTCCTACTGACTGGCATAAGCTAAATTCATACGAATTCTGAATGATATACGACACCTGAAATGTCGCTGAAAGCCAGCCCACCTTTCTAAAAGTGTGGCTGTGGTTGTTAGTCCATATAGAAAGCCATGTTTACGGAATAACTTCTGGCTGGTGTGAATTGTTTTTCGTGATTTATTTTTAGTTGAAATATGGTTGTGCTTTTTATGTTTTTTTCTGAATTGTATATCGTCAAAGTATCTTAAGCATTTCATTAAGAAACATCATCCACTTATCGAAAGTAACTGCGTTGATGTAGATAGATATCAA